CACAATACTCCCTACCTTTTTTATGATTGAATAATTACTGGTGGCCCGGAGGCCTTTCTAGTTTCCCCAGGACAGGTGGGCGAGCAAAGGCTCAGCCAGGAGGGGTGAGATTTGCTAACTACTGCCTGGCGCCTCCGAAGGAGACCTAACAACTCAAGAGCAACTGCTTCGCGAATGAATCTACTACCGGATCATCCATAAGGACGTGTCTAGGGCGTCGATGGTGACTGGCTCCTGCATGATCAGGATTCGGGTGTAGTCAGCGGCGGCAACGATAAGGCTATTATCATGACGCATAACCTTATCGAAGTACCGTTCCGACGCTGACTTCATGTATTTCCGGATTGATTCGAGGCCCAGGTCATCATGTAGGTCAACGTTCCTCACGAACCACGGAGCCCCGACAGCTAACCTGCAAAAGCGGGATTGTAGGGATTGGAGGGTGTCTATGTGTGTGCGGGCCGCGTGAGCGAACACCACACTCGCGTAAGTCAAGACGGGCCTTATGCAAGTTTTGTAAAGTGTCACCTTGTTCCGAAGGGACATTTTACTCCGCTTACAGATTATGGGATAGAGTCTGCCGAGAATAAATACGGTACGGTCGCGAACTGTTTTTATATGCGGGCGGAATGTCATGGATGCATCCAGGGTGACACCCAGGTACTTTACCTTTCTGGCCCAGGGTTGGCCGAAGAGGGTGATCGGGCGTGTGACCCCCTACCAACATCGATAGTGGAGGAGGTGGTTAGGGACTAAAGGAGAGGCAGGGAGTAATGTCAAGGCAAGAGTGACTGAGACTCTGTCAAGAGTGAATAGATTATGAAGCTTATTCTACTGAATCGTTTCAGAATCGATGAAGTCCAGTATCAGTGCGTTTGTACAAGATTCTTATATATACATACATGTTCATACCTAGAATACATAGTGAATTCAATAATAATTTTCATTTAAACTTAAGTAATTTTTTTAATGTACATTTATCCACTGGTGTGAATTAATAAAAAAATTGGTAATCTATGGCTCATATTGCAATCAATGATTTAAGCTTCTACAGCTAATTTAAGTACCCCGCGATGATGATCAATAGATCACGGATAGGCATAGTTATCCACTAGTAGATTATGAGTCACACATATATAAACATGTATTAATAGGTGTTTCCATTATATACGAAATTTATGAACCTAAAAGTAAAAAAATAACACTACCTTACAGAGATAAATGGGTTGATAAGAACATCCATTATTCAATCACACCCCGGTCTTATTGCTGATCTCACCACCACAATATCAGTCCGTCCCGGCAACTGACATGAGATACTGTTTACACGATAAATTGTAATATTACACAAACATTTGGATGTATTTATAGCATCATAAAATCGAAAGACTCAGCGGAAGATCGGCGAACCGCGTTACCAATAATGCTACTATGAAATAGAACGAGGCTACTGAGAATTCGATTCATAAACTAATCTTGAAACAATGTAAAAAAACAAATTCATAAAACGAACGGTCATCGCTTCTGAGATTATATTGAACTACATGATTAGAAGTTTCTAATGATTATAATTAATACTACATAGTATATTTGAAGTTGTCGTGGTCTAAATGATCAGATGTGTACCTACTGTACCTGTTTACGCAATAAATAAAACATATAAAACTGAACAGTACCTCCCTTACTTATTCTTCTAAAGTTCTAGTGACCGCAAGTGAACCTCAGCATCTGGAACCAGATTTGTCAATATTTATCGATCCAGCGTCTTCACCTTAGTAATCAGCTTATTCATTCATCCATTTACCACTATTCATGTATTAACATAAATAAAAAATGCCATGCAATATATAAAACACAATTTATTCAATGCCGTAATTGATGACCGATCATCAAGAATATTTTGCACAGCGATGCGAATCAAATTCACCTTTCAAGATTTCCAAAAGGGACACGCTTTAAAAATATGCAATCAGTATGTGTGTGTGTTCAAAAGAAACTGGAATTGATATTTGTATATAATATACATTTTAAATCAAGTAGTCATTGTATTTAACAAAAAACATTAACAATTTTAAGAGTTTGGAAATTAATATCACTTTAAATATGTATACCTTTTTTTTTCTTCAATAAATATAAAATCGATTTTACAAAATTACATAAATCTTATAAAAAAACACACTCAGATTTTAAAAATTACAAATATAAATATTTACACAACAGAATGCATGTTTACTCAAACATAAAACTATTATTAAATACACGCATTATTTTCATAAATGAACAAAAACAACATTCTAAGTACATTATTCACAAAATATGTGATGTAGGTGATACTTCTATGCTTATTTTTTTATTCAGATGTTCCTGTTTTTTAAATTTATTAGCCTCATAAGTAAGCGGTATAAGTTAGGCGTATGAAACGATATTAAACAAATTAAACTCAAATCTGGTATTCATCTACAGTCTTCTAACAGTATCTCTTGATTCTTCGAAATTGTTTCTGTATCAAAACGTGTGATAACCAATTATAATTAGTAAAGTGATCAATAAACCATATACGAACTGTTCTGTGGTACCTAGCTCATCTTTCAAACAATATATTCGACCGGAATTAGTATAAACTCGCGTAATTACGAATTAAATTCTCAATTATAATTACGTATTTTATTTAAAACAAACGTTTTAGATCTATGAAGGAAATCATTGCACTGAATTTTGCATTTATGCATATCATAACGTATATATCATAACATATTTTTTTATGCAAAAGCTAGCTCATTGTTAAAGGCAACTTTTGAGTTGTAACTATACAAAAGGTGCCAGTAAGTACGACATCCAAATGACGATGAACGTACTGTAACTTTTTTCACATAAGAATACATTTATGACGTTTTAATAATTTTGTAGACATTTTTTTTTTATTGTGACTGATTTTTCACTCATTTTTTTTTTTATTGCTTAGAAGGGTGGACGAGCTCACAGCCCACCTGGTGTTAAATGGTTTCTGGAGCCCATGGACATCTACAACGTAAATGCAGCACCCACCTTGAGATACATATAAGTTCTAACGTCTCAAGTATAGTTACAACGGCTGCCCCACCCTTCAAACCGAAACGCATTACTGCTTCACGGCAGAAATAGGCAGGGTGGTGGTACCTAACCGTGCGGACTCACAAGAGGTCCTGCCACCAGTAATTGCGCAAATTATAATTTTACGGGTTTGATTTTTATTACACGATGTTATTCCTTCACCGTGGAAGTCAATCGTGAACATTTGTTGAGTACATTAGAAAAAAAATCATCATAATACAAACATAATTTTTCAATCAGATACCATATATTATATGTGTATTATTCCTTCCTAAAACATTCGCTTCACGATAGAATGTATGCACAGCAACGGTTTCAGTCCATAAGACACCTTTCTACTGAAATGCTGTGACGTTTATTAGTTTGGTGAATATTTATGGCAACCATAAATTGAGTTGACATCTTTTACTTACAAGTGGATCATTAAATTGTACATTTTGATTAAATAGATAAAGTGTAGTTAAGATTAATTACGCTCAAGCTCATTTAATGAAATAAATTGATTATCGGCTTCAATAATAACATTGTTGTAGTTTATGATATAGTGTATGTGTTGTTTCATTTTAAAAAAACTCATACGAAACTGTATCGATCCAAAAATGGATCCTATGACGAAACTTCAACGATGATTCGGAATTCGAGTATATTTGAACATTGCCAAAATCATGACACATGCTTACAGGAAACGATGTAAGCCGAGGATGAAATAAAATACTTGTACCAAACCAAAATTAGCACTCTCGAATTGTTGTCCAAATTCACGCAGACTTTCATTTCTATACTTAAGTCACGTGATGTTTAAGTCATCAATAAAACTATTCGGAAAACGTATTACGTCAGGCATGAAATGTATTTCATCGTAAACCGTGACTTAACGCGTTCCATACGTACTAGTATTAGGAATAACAAGTCATAAAACACAAATATATCCGTTACAAAAGTTATGTGAAACGTCTAGACAAAGCGCCGCCTGCCTACAAAATTAAACATCTTAACACAATACACAAAAAAAGTTCAATGTACACAACATATTGGTCACATCTTTATTTCGCTGTTGGCACCCGAATGTTTTCGTATGCCGTCAAACGAGCGTCAAGTTCCATTTGAATATGCAATTTCGAAAAGGGCACATGTCGCATATTTTGTCAAATACATTTTTTCACATACATGTAGTTTTGAGGATTACCTACACTCATTTTATAATAATTCCAGTAATTTTCAATTGCTAATTAACACTAAAATATATCTCAAAAGTTAATATTTCAAATTTTACACTGCTTTAGAAAATAATCAGTTTTTTTTCATTTCCTGAACATTTTACATTTTCAGAGATGTGCCCTTTTCGAAATTACATATTCATTTCGTTCTTTCACTCCACATTGAGATCAAATTATTTTAGATTTAAATACTTTTTTGTTTTGTTTCAGAGGCAAAAGTTCAATTCTGATGACCACGATTCCAAAATGTACATTCCAAATTTTTCAATTTGTATATTGTAGGTCGGTGGTGGGTAAATACTTAGAAGAATCAACATTCTACATACAATAATAATTATTGATAGTCACAGCAAAGAAAAACCTGATTTCATTCATTTTGAGCATAGGCTATATTGTCGAATAGATTTAACTGAAACTTTAAAGAAATCATATTAAAAGAAGCGGTACATATCCAAATCCTCGGATTCGCCTAAGTACCTGCTGAAATTCTTTTGTTAAAGTTGCTTTCTTCCAAATTGTCGCCACAAAAGGTGTTAAATTATAATCCGTATATAATAATAATAACAATAGATACTTTAGTAATAACGTTACTAATAATTAAATGAAATCAAAAATGCCAAAACGATTCCATAACGAATTCTAGCCAGACTGTATTCGGCAATAATCTCCGCCTAAATAGTTGAAAACACGACAATGCTATCCCTGACTACTCCTGGTATCTGTTCTGTTTCCTATGATCAGTCCATCTTTGTAATGATTTAATTATTACTATTAACTCCCTTTATTCGCGTCATGAGCCGACACGGGCTGCAACTACTCGAAAGCAGCAATCCTAATGCAAGTGAAATTTCGACGTAATGTCTAAATGCGCTTGGCGGTATTCGTATTGCAGTGTCAAGGGACTCTTGAGCTCTTCTGTCATTGAAACGCATAATTTCATAGTACTATTAAATTAAAAATCAAAATCAAAAGCCGTTTTAAACGTAATCGAATACAATTAGTCATATAATATTATGTATTTTAGTATCACTAACCTTTTAAACACAAAAATGTGTATCCTTAAATTGTTCCCCACAAACATAAACCGTGTTAAACACTGTTAATTGTTGTTTTTCGGTAATTCGTGATTTCTAATAGCTATCGTGATGGAAGTCATAACGAAAACTATTCTCTAGTTGTGCTGAGTATTAAAATGTTTAACTATAGTACTGTTTTTTATTTTCAATATGTTTAAAAAAATAAAATGTCTACTTGTAGGTAAAGGTTTGCATTTTAATTTTTGGTCATATCAAATAAATAAAAACTAAGATAACTTCCATTGATATTGGTAATAAATTATATCATTAAAGTCTGTTATATATCCAATACCAGCTTCTTTTAAAGTATTTCATTTCTCATACGGTTTTATATTAATAATTTTTTTTCTTACTTTTGAAACACAGTAAATAAATACATACAAGGACTCCAAAATGTACAGTAAATCTTAACAATATTGTGCCGTGTCTCATGAAGGCAGTGCTAATAGCATGTTAATATAGAAGTGAAACACCCTTGAACTTATCATAATGCTTGAAAAGCACGCAAAAAGAACTCCGTGATCCGACACCATAACAATATCAATATACATAATCTATGCGTAAAATTAAGAATATTTTGTATATTAGATCAATGTCGAAGCACAGACATTTTATTCGAATTATTCGAATGTCAAGATTTTTTTTTTCGATAAAACGCTTGAACTATAAACACACCACATTTAATTTTATTCAGCGTCACCAATTTGCTGGCTGGGCATACGTATTTTTCAAAGTATATCTTTTGCAGAATTGCAGCATTTTAAACACGCCTAAGCTCGATAGCATTGGAAAGAGTCAAAAAGTAATTCAAACAGACGATTCGTAAATGACAATTTGGACGATCGGAGGCTTTTGCTGTACTGGAGATGTGATGTCCCTGATGACCGCTTCGACGGCTGCCTCCAGTTCTAAGCGACGCTTTTCCGATAGTGCTCCACCACCGGCGCTGCTCAGACGCGGCATTGTAACCTGCGACAAATGTGAATTTGATTAATTCGTTACATATTATAAACGAATGTTAATGATTTGAACTCAAGCCTGGCAACAAAAATTAATTTGACGAATCAATTTCAATTAGGACATAATTGAATTAATCAACGATAAACAGAAATTGAACCTCATATGTAGAAAACTTTGATCTCAATTCAATGAAACGCAATTTTATTTATAATTAAACATCCAATTCTTACAATACATTCGATTTTCCAAAAATTTTGATTAGCTACCTAGTAGTAGATTTCATAATCACCAAATTAAATTATTATCTATGAATGTATAATACATTAATTTGAAATATTTTAAGTGCGTCGCGTTTCTACAGCAATAAAATACACCCTCATTAGAGGGTAATCAAGGCTTTAGCTAGTTAACGCGGGCTGTAAATCTCTCGAATACTACTTAGGCAGTAAGCTTACTTAAATAAAAAGCAAAAATTATGTTGAATCTTTAATTTTTTGTGAACTAAATAAATTTAACCATGCTAAATCGAAGGGATTTAAGTTTTTGAAGTTATACTTCTTTAGGCGCGTTATGAAAAATTGATGAGAGTGAAATTTTACTATGCGCGCGCACCGTGACACAAAATTAACAGAATGAAGTTGCCCACTAAATCGCTCATTACAACACGACCGACGTAACTTGGCGAGTCTGAGTCTAGCCGCAGGTGAACTTTCGCGCATGTACACTCGTAAAAAAAAGTGTTATTAGCATTCATTTTTTAGTAATATAAATGACAACATTATTATTTAATATAATTCATTCTAAATATTATTAAATTATTAACGTTAAATATTTATTATTAATTATAATTTAACATTTAAAAAAAAAGAAATAAATTTAATAAAAATAAAGTATAACTTCTTACGCGCGTACATAAGTACACGCACCCTTTTTTTTCTTATTGTTTATAGGTAAATTAGGTGAATATAAAAAATACTTAAATCAATTTATTAACTAATTTAGTCACGCTCAAAACAAATAAAATAACTAACTATAAGGAATATTTTCGTTACACGCGTAATGTACGAACATCTCTTCAAATGGAATTTCATTAAATACGAAGCACTTCCGCAATCTACTAGCGCTGTATTAAAATATTTATGCAACCCGTTTTACATTAAGATAATGGGAACGTAATTTATTTATAAGCAGTGCAAGAAAAAGAGCCATAACATTTTACTGCATTTAAAAGGTGAAGGATTACGTACATTTATTCCTAGTTATATATCGATACGTGGGAATAGATGATCGTTTTCAACATATTACTTTGCATCAAAGCATTACAAAATAATGCAAGCATTAGTAAAATGTTACGTGTATTTTATTGGGCAATAAAACTAAAAGGGTAGTAGTTACGACATTGAAATATAACTCGGACTCGATCTGATATGCAAAAAGCGTACGTAATGTCAAACGAAAACTATGCCGACTTCAAAATGAACTTTCATAGTACGAAAATTTGTTTAATTCTTGTTTAAACCTTTTTTTTTAAAAGGGTCAAACTTTGTCATGTAGCTAGCTACACTTTTCTTTGAAGTCGTCAATATGTAAATGATTCACGTGATTTTCTTTGATAAAAAATGTAGTTTTGCGACTAATAAGTCATTTATAATACCGGCCTTGACTACTGTCAGGTAAGCTTTAGAACAAAATAAGGCAGCCGTTTTATACGGGATCCCGGTGAATATACATCACCTCGGTTTTTGGTTGTACCATAGATTCTGGGCCGGTATAGGTTTTCTGTAAAATATTCAACGATCAATAGTCAAAAATAATTTTTATAATAAATATTTAGTTAAGTTTCAAGCATAAATTGCTCTAAAAAGTTTTTAAGCTATGTATTTATATTTCTGTTCGAGTAAAACTTGTAACATTGTAAATAAGTTTTGGAACCATCACGTTTAAAAACAACGACTAAAGCCTCAGCTTCAACGGAAATTAAAACACCTACGTTTGCAAAAAACATTTCTATAAATTAAACAATCAAAACTGTTCAAATCAAAACAGTTGACAATAAAAATCTCGCACTGGAAATCCCAAGTCCCTTTCAGGGGAAATGAAAAACAATTCACATTCCACCACACAAACAATCTAAGCAAAATGATCAAGTTGACCCAAATAAACATCGTGGAACAAAAATCATTTGGCTTTGGTGATTTCTGAAAGTAAATAAAGTGAAGTATTAGACATTTAGGGGGGATAGACTTTGCGCGTAGGTACTGCGTGATTATTTCTACGTAAGAAAAAAAACTAAACTGTTTTATATTCTTGTGAATACATTGAATATACGACTTTAAAGATCATACGATCGTATCTACCGCATAAGTAGGAACACTTTCAAAATTTTGCAAATCAAAAACAATATTTCTCAACAGAAAACATGTGTTCCTAATCTCCGTCACACATGATACAAGAAATAAAATTATCGAAGAGGATAAAATTGTTGACATGTATAACATTCTGTTAGGTATTAGGCGCTCATTATGCCGAGAAATAAAATTTTGTACTTCTGCCAAAATTTTTAGACATTATGAAGACGCGCCTAGGAAATAGGATACTAATTACTTTTGTTCACTCTAAAATATCTCAACCAAAACATCAATAAAGTATACCCTATTTTAAGTGGATTTATTTATTTCACGAATAACTGAACGATCGCGGAATCGCGGATTCGTGTAGAAAAATCAAATTCGCAAAAGTTATAATTTGCGTAGGTAGGTTGAGAGCACGCACGGGTAAGTACCACTATTCTGCCTATTTCTGCCGTGAAGCAATAATGCGTTTTGGTTTGAAAGATGGGGCAGCCGTTGTACTAATGAGACATAGGGCTCATATCTCAAGATGGATGGCGGCATTTACGTTGTTAATGTCTATGAGATTCGGCAAACACTTAACACCAGGTGGGCCGTAGGATGTTCCAAATACCTAAACAAAAAAAAAAAAATTCTAGCCCATAGGTCACCTGAGCCCTAAACTTGAGCCCTGAGCCCTTAGCTCGAGTTCCACCCGATACGGACGAAACCTAATTGTTTTCAACATACAAAAATATACGTTCAAAACATTGGATCTCTTAAACACTAATTTAATGGGTTTTTTTTACGTATAAAATTATTGTCGTCTTTACCGGGACCATTCCCATTACACATCCAGGTTCGACTATGCGAAGCCTTGATCAAAAGGCTTGCTTAGCTCGCTAGGCGGAGGTGCGATCTAGATCCCCGAACCTAATTTTTTTTTTTTTTTTGCTTAGATGAGTGGACGAGCTCACAGCCCACCTGCTGTTAAGTGGTTACTGGAGCCCATAGACATCTACAACGTAAATGCGCCACCCACCTTGAGATATAAGTTCTAAGGTCTCAATTATAGTTACAACGGCTGCCCCACCCTTCAAACCGAAACGCATTACTGCTTCACGGCAGAAATAGGCAGGGTGGTGGTACCTACCCGTGCGGACTCACAAGAGGTCCTACCACCAGTAATTACGCAAATTATAATTTTGCGGGTTTGATTTTTATTACACGATGTTATTCCTTCACCGTGGAAATCAATCGTGAACATTTGTTGAGTACGTATTTCATTAGAAAAATTGGTACCCGCCAGCGGGATTCGAACACCGGTGCATCGCTCAACACGAATGCACCGGACGTCTTATCCGTTAGGCCACGACGACTAATTATCAGTGTCAAACCTCAATATGTTTAATAGTACTGTATGTATGAAATGAGACGTAAAAGATTAGACATCCTTTTGTAGAACAACTGACGATGGTTATCACAACTTTCAAATGTCGATGAATAACACTTTAGTCTTCGTAACGACGAACTTAAAAGTATACAAAATCTCAAAATTGAAAATGTGAAATTAAACCATAAAAATAGGTTCAATGATCTCTACGACTTTCTAAAACCAAAGGAATACTATTAGTTATATCACTATTTTTTAACTTCCACCGCACAGGGTAGAGACCACCGTAAGTTAAACTTTTACCAAATCAGATACTGTAAGGTACTATGAATAAGTTGCTTTACTATGAAGTTTTTCTGGTTCTTCGTGGCATAAAGGATGATAATAGCCTATGATCGTTTACAATATACCTTCTTCCTATACGATTTAGTTATACGATCTTCCAATAAGGTATCGACGTATCTATCAAGAAGTCAATCTCAAATAACAATTATTAAACAATTATAAAACAAATCACACCATTTATATTTTTATTAACAAACTTACCACAGTTAAAACTTTCCTAAGGTCACTGTGTAGGCTAGAGACGTCGACACCTCGGCCGGCGTCGCCTAGTCTTCTCAGCGTGTCAGCTAGGGGACCAGACAGCGCGCGCAATTGCTGCCAAGATCTTGCGTACTGTCTCCGCACCAGCTCAATAATAGTTGAGGTTAGCGCCAAACCAATCAAAATGTACAACGTACAAAGCAGCATGTATTTCGGTCTCTCTGTTAAAAACAATTTTTACAACTAAGAAGTAGATAGAGAACTTAAAATTACATCAATCAGCTATTGAACTTTCTTAACTTTTTAATGAAAATAAATTATTTTACTTGGTACAATATCTCCGAATCCAATGGTCGTCATCGTGATGAAACAAAAATAGAATCCATCGTAGAAGGTCCAATCATCCTCCCACATCTTGAACAAGCCAGCCCCAGCTGACAGATACACAAACAAAAACCCAACTGCTCCGAGTGCGTAAAGAGATCTCTGACCGGCAGGATTGGCTTCTGTCACTCTTGTACAACATTCTAAAAATAGATACCGTGATGTTGTTACGAAAAACGAAATTGACGTTGATATAGTTAGAAAAAAATGGAAACATGGAGCTTACGAATGAGAGAGAGCTTCTTTTAAAAATGACAGATGTATTACAAGTCCATGCATGTATCTATCTGGCTTTTTTTACTGTAGCTGTACAATTCAATGACACTTCAACCTTATGTCTCGAAAGGGGTGCTCATTTGGATTGTGATGTCCATGGACTCCGTTAAAAAGTTTACGTCAGGAAACCTTTTTTTTTCTACCTAAGCTGAGAGGCTTGAGAGGCTATTTCAGCGTAACCTTAACTAGTAGGTGAGCTCACGGAGCTCAAACCTGACGACATTGCTAACACGAACCCTAGCAAGAGTCGTGCTTCGCAGAATCTACCACCGGATCGGAAACGCGACCCACTGAGAAGATCCGGCGAGAAACTCAGTGGGCGGTGTCTGAGGGTTAATTTATTCGTCGAGCCCTTTGTCGCAAGCGACGGGTTCGACGAGAACGATGACCGGTGCTTGAGGTACCTAAGAGCACCGTTAGTGGATCGGGAGGATCCGACGTGCTTGGGGCGACGTCGACTGCTTTCCATTCTGTTCGCAGGATCGGGAATGAGGAAAACCGTGGATCCTTTGCCCATTTACAAAAATACAATAAACAAACGTCAGGAAACTGAGAGTATCTACGTATTACGTAACTCATGTTAACTTACTAGGTGGTGACGGTAGATGTTTAGCGATAAAGGAAACACATGTAGCGAAAACTCTGCCTAGATCAGCGATGACCGTTAATGTGAATGGTATTCCTATCAAGGCGTAAGCGATACAAAACAACCTTCCCCAAAATGTTACCGGCACTATGTTACCGTAACCTGAAAATGAAATGCATTTAAAGAAAATGAAAATAATTTTAAGAACGCTGTATGTAATACCAAGTTTTGAATACTTTATAGTTTTTTTTTTCATTTAAGTATACTGCTTGTGCTTACATGGTACACACCTATAGTAGTGAGCACTGTTGAAGAAAAAAATACAGCTTGCAAAATGCTCCATCTTTCTTCGGTTGGTGGGAAATTCTTTTCTACTTCTAACGATATGCCATCTGATGACGCTTCTTCTAACACCTTGAATAAACAGCTAACATGTTATTTTCTAAGGAAGACTCGTAGATTAGCAGATCAGCTCACGGTCATTCTGGGATAAAATTCTTACTGGAACTTATAGGCATCGACAGGTTAATACCGCCACCCGTATTTAGCCTTGAGTTTAAGTTTTCGTGGGTTAATGCCCGGTTCATTCGAACCAAGCAGTGTGACTGTGCTGGTGTAAAAAACCCCCAAGGAGCTATTAAACTATGCAATGAAATTCGTACTTAAAAAATGTTCACGAATATCCTTCATAATGAAGAAAAGACAACACGTAAATAATAAATTGGTTTTTAACAAAACCCACATAAGAATCGATTTGCGTTATCACTTGGGGTAGGGTATCTTGTAAGCCTACACGACTAGGTAATACCACTGGTACATATTTCTTCACTGAAACAGTAATGCGTTTCACTTTGAAGGGTGGAGTTTCCGTTGTACTAAATAATTGAGACTTAGAACACGGGCATAGGCTCGATCCCTGCTCCATAAGGGGTCACGAGGACGCGACATGACATATCTCTAAGTGGGTGGCGATATTTACGTTGTAGATGTCTATGGCATTCGATAACCACTTAACACCAGGTTTGAAATCTATAAAGTTTGCCAGTTTTTCATTCGAAATTGCTCGTGAACAAATAAGATAAAAGTTCAATTTAAACTAGTCAAGTCTCACAGCATTCAATTCTCGTTACCCTACATCACTGATGGCAGATTTTAATAAAGTTAATGTTGTACGAAATTAAGAAAATTATTTCAATGCAACGTGCCAATTATATCGCGATGGTTTACCTTTTCGTAAATAGCTAAATGATGGCTTAGCAGCTCTTCAACGCCATTAAAATACTCAGTCCCGTTTGTCCATTGAGCTACAAAACGTATTAAATTCCATCTTTCACTTAGAACACGTTCCCTATGAAAATCCTGTTTAGCCATTTCAGCTGGATACTCTAACGCACGGAATACCTGCAAGAAATAAACATTAATATTTTTATCTCACAATGCATTAAATATTATGTACTTTGAGTAAAACTTATTATTTTCACCTTTGCATAGCCCAAAACTACACAAGTAAAACAATATGGCATGTCATACTATATATTTTATTTATCGATTATAATTACACGAAGCCTAATTAAAAGTTTTCAAATTCTTTTTCGAATACACATTCCTGTGATTTTTTTAACAAAATTTCGTCGACCTTAGAATAATTGCCAGTATCACCAATGTTTTTGCATATCGGAACGTGTGGCGGAATCATTTTTTGATATAATATGGACGACCAATTGATGTCACAAAACCACAGATGATTTTTTATTTCTAGTACCCCAGCTTTTAAGGAGCCGTATCGTTTCGTTGGATCAACTTCCAAAAGATTTTTTACCAGAGCTTTGCACACCTGTGTCATATTTTCTGGTGTCTTAAACTGTCCTGTAAGGATTTTTTCATATAGTTTAATTGGCTCGCTGCTATAAAACGGTGGAAAAGAAGCAATCATTTCGTAAATGAGAACGCCCAAAGCCCACCAATCTACTGGAAACGAATACCCTTTCGACAATATTAATTCTGGTGCTAAATATTCCGGCGTTCCGCACAATGTCCAAGTTCGGCTCTTTATGATCTTGCAAAATCCAAAATCCGCTAACTTTATATAGCCTGAACTGCTAACTAATACATTTTCCGGCTTAAGGTCTCTGTGAACAACGGAACAGTGATGCAGATATTCCAAAGCTAGTACTAATTGAGCGGCATAAAATTGAGATAAAGGTTCAGAGAATCCTCCTAGCTTCTTGATCAAAGTATATAGTTCACCGCCAGCTTCATAAGGTAGTATAAAGTACACATACATGTTATCCTTGCAAGTGAAATCTAAAGACATCGTAAATGGAAAATTAACACATTGTAAAATTTTCTTTTCTATGTAAAGCTGTTTCAAATTTTTATGTTTTATTACTTCGACTTTTTCCACTGCTTTCATAGCGTGGTATTGAAAAGTATTTATATCACGAACTAAGAACACTGTACCAAAACTACCGTGTCCGAGTGTTTGCACTTTATCGAACTCTTCTGGAGATTTTGAATAGGAAATGGGATTCGAATAAATATGTAAAAAATCTTGTTTTAAAACATCTAAATATCGTTTATGATTTATCTGTTCTTCGTGTGTGTAGTTTCCAATACAATTCTCGTTGTATTTCATATTCGAGACATGCGCTCTGTTAGTATGTTTATTAAGTTAGCAGTATTCCATTTGTTAAATAATAATATCATTTTCAATGTACTGTAATATACGATAAATAATTATATAATATACTCGACTATATTACCAAATATGACAGTTGAAATTTAATAGTGACGTCGGAATGACGCGTTTCACAGAGAATTGAAATTTTTTCCCCGATTTATGTACCTAATATATTTTCCAAAATTGTCAAATAATTACCCATCACGAATTAACTAAGCGATATACTTTACTGATCTAATTGCTTAAGTTATTACGAAGGCAAACAAATAGTGCTTGAATCTGACACCACTTCTCACTGTGTAAGAAATTTAAAACAGTTATTTACCGCACTCTTACGCTAGAACAGATACAGATTGTATGAAAATTTCTTGACTATAGAATACTATAGACTATAAAATGTAATTATATTATAGTATAATGATGAACGACGTAATAGAAAAAAAAAACGGTAATCGAGCATGGTGTCAATACGGAACACACTGGTGTCAATCTACTGTACCGCCTAATTCTGTTCCTAAACTCGATTAACATAGGAATGGATAGTCCCGCAAACTATATACAAGAGCATTTTAATGTGCATTATAAATAGCACTGCTTGACATATTTGTTGTTCAAGAAGCTTGTGATGCAATTATTTTTTTTAATTAAATTATACAGAAAAGTTGGGAAATAAAACTGCAGTTCGAGAACAGGTTTGTATATTTTGATTTTTATAATAGTACTCAGTGTAGGAGGAACCTTAACTCTATCGCAAAATTTGTTAATGACCATAAATGATAATCAAATCATTAACAGAAAAATAATCTTTTACAGTTTAAAATTCTGCAAATTCTTCCTCATATAAATATTTTGACACCTTTCTTAATTTAGGCTGTGGAATTTCTGGAAAGTTGCTGGTGTCTCCTGGTGATGAACAAATAGGGACAAAAGGGGCAATTAATTTTTGATGAAATATTGCTTGCCAATCTAGACCATTAAACCATGTATGGCTCTTGATCTCGTAAATGCCACCTTTTAATGAGCCTATCCGCTTTGAGGGATCCACTTGCAATAAGCCTTTAAGCAAATTCTTGCATTCTGGAGACATGTTCTCCGGACATTTGTAACTACCTACTAACACTTTTTCATAAAGTTTATTAGGATCAGAAGCAAAAAATGGAGGATGACCGGCTTCCATCTCAAAAATCAAAACACCAAGAGCCCACCAATCAACAGAAAAAGAATAACCTTTTGATGTAATAACTTCGGGCGCTAAGTATTCTGGAGTTCCACACAATGTCCATGTCTTTTTCTTTAGCACTTTACAAAATCCAAAATCACATAATTTAAGGTAGCCGTTGGAATCAATCAAAATATTTTCGGGCTTTATATCCCTGTGTACCACTTCACAATAGTGCAAGTATTCCAGAGCTAAGATTACTTGGGATGCATAAAATTTCGTCAGACTATCGGAAAAAATCCCATATTTTTGGATGTATGTAAACATTTCACCTCCTGCAATATATGGTAGAATAAAATAAAGATACAGATTGTCTTTGAAAGCCACGTCTAGAGTTACTACAAATGGAAATTGAATACACTGGAGAATTTTCTTTTCTAAAATCAAATGCTTAGCATGATTCCTCTCAACTACAACACTCTTTTCAACAACTTTCATTGCATGGTACGTGAAAGTAATTTTATCTCTTACTAAAAACACCTCGCCATACGCCCCATTTCCAATAGCTTTGACTATATCGAAATCATCTACAGTTTTATCGTAAATCGGTGCATCTGAGTATTTCTTATTAAAGTCTTCCTTTAGCATTTCCAAGTAACGTAAATGTTCTTGATAACTCTGATGACTGTACGTAGTTTTTGCCATAACCTTTAATAATTAACCGGTATGCATTAAAACATAATGCAAATAAATATTTTATAAAAAAAAAAAATCATTATTTATTACAATTTGTTCATAAAATGTGTCAATTTATGACAATAATGACCATTGCAATAAACAAAAATTTGTTTTTAAATTCCAAAACACTAGAATTCGAGTGTGTGTAGTTAGTTAGTCGATGCTCTAAATTACACACATTATTATTTAACGGGTTCGCACCACTATTTTCACATTAAATAAGTTCCCGATATTTAAGTGTGTCTCGAGAACCCGTTAAATAGTAGTGTGTATAAAAGCCCTGAAAGCTTTAAATGATGTTCAAAATATTGTAAATATTTCAGTAAAACTATATAGTTTTAGTTAAAACGTGTTTTATCAAGTAAAATTTTGTTTTGACTGATCGTTTTCTTTAAAATTGTAAATATTATTATATGCATAAATTTAATTTCCAGTCACAGTTAGATAAAATTAGCATTGTAAAGGAAATATTTTTCGTCAATCTCGATAGATTATGTTTAAAAAAATAAAGAACTTAATAATAGTACTGCTAAAATAAAACAATTTCCTAGGTATAATAGTCAGAATCACAGTTATTGTGATTCAACTAACACTGACGTTGAGCGGTGAGCGGTTAAATTGGTAAAGTATCCACACATTGGCTGTTAATATATACTAGTTCCTTTCCATCAGAGCCAATGTAAAGATGTGCGATACCGAAATTGAAATTGCTCTAAGCGCTTTTACAGCACTGTTTTTATTTTTATTTTTTATTGCTTAGATGGGCGGACGAGCTCACAGCCCAAGTGGTTACTGGAGCCCATAGACATCTACGACGTAAATGGGCCACCCACCTTAAGATCTAAATTCTAAGGTCTCAAGTATAGTTACAACGGCTGCCCCACCCTTAAACCGAAACGCATTACTGCTTCACAGCAGAAATAGGCATGGTGGTACCTACCCGCGCGGACTCACAAGAGTTCCTACCACCAGTAATTACGCAAATCATAAATTTTCGGGTTTGATTTTTATTACACGATGCTATTCCTTTACCGTGGAAGTCAATCGTGAACATTGGTTGAGTACGTATTTCATTAGAAAAATTGGTACCCGCCTGAAATTCGAACACCGGTGCATCGCTCAACACGAATGCACCGGACGTCTTTATCCTTTAGGCCACGACGACTTCAAAGTGTGAGACTCTGACTGACGACTGACTTCAAAGACTGAGTGGGTGCGTATCATTTATATTTGTTATTGAAAAAAAACAAAATGCCACGTCAAAGGAGATGGTGGATGACAACATGCACACTCGAAGCATATTGCAATAGGACTGAGCAAAGCGGCAACATGCGGACGGATCGCGAACATTAGCACAGATTCCTTTGATAAAACCGACACTTGACGGCCAACTACCAACGATCGCTCCAAGGTTGGGGCCAATGCTATTTTCTTAATCCACACGTTGGGCGAGTGACTTTAGGGCCTATGTTGGGGCCAACACTTTTTTTTTTTTTTTTTTTTTTTTTTTTTTTTTTTTTTTTTTTTTTTTTTTTGTTTTTTNGGTCCCCGCGCCTAGGGGGCGCGCGGGGTATGTGAGACTCAACGATCTGCAGGTGTTGAGAGCAGATCGCGGGCCCAAGGATTTTAGGGCCCACCCACTAAACGACTCCCCTGCACTCTTACACCCGACGTCCGATCTCCGTCCGGGGTCAGAACCCGTTCAGAGTAGGGGGGTTCCCGCGGTCAACACTACAACCAGACACGCGGCGCCACCCCGAGGACGCCCGACCGACGGGTCGTCGAGGCGATAGTCGACGACCAACGACGTCGGTCTCCGCGGTACGGCGGCCCTACCAGGCCGCCCGGGCGGTGCCGCTGGTGTTCCGGGATACCCCGCTGGGCCAGAACCAGCCTGCCGGGTCGGAACGCGATACACCGCCGACCGGGTTGTTATGTTGGTATGTTGGGGCCAACCCGGCCTAAGGATAAAACTAAAGTGGCCATATTTATGTCAAATACTCAGTCTTGCAACAACATTCTTTTACGAATACCTCACAAATTTTAAAATGAGTATCGAAGCAATTGTTAATTACTGTAGTTCGACGCGTTCATGTCGATATAACTATACATACTTTACAAAGAGGCTTACTTATCCACTTAAGCAGGAACGGACCACCGGTAGGACCGCTATGATAATCGTAATAAACTCAGAGTAAATCGTTTACTTTGGAGTACTATAGTATACTGTACCATAGTGATTAAATTCTCTCTCAGAGTAATACACTCGTCAAACTGGCTGTTTAAACTTTTCACTGAAGTATATAGGTCTATGAAACTTTTACATTTTCCTTGTGACAGCAAACCGTGACAGAATGAAAGTTATACCAGTTTTAATTTGATTTTTCTGTTGGTAAGTATTGATTTTGTTCTCTTTGTTCTTATTACGTTTTAGGATCTGTTTTCACTAAAAGCGAACCTTTTACAATTGACCCTATTTTAATTTTGCGTAAATAAAGCTCGCTATTATCAAAACTGATTTCAGAAAAGGATATCGAAAAATGGCAGATAGTGAAATTAAAAGGCATATCAATTCACCACGTGGTGATTTGATACACCACGGTGGCTATTCTCCTGCAAAACAAGAACAATACTCTCAATATTTAAAGAAACTCCGTCAGGATTTTGTTGAGTCATGGGATGATAAATCTGAAAGTAATGCAAAGTTGAATGATTTTGAAAGACAAAAAGTTTTAGGAACAGGAGCATTTGGTATTGTTTTTCTTGTAAAGCATATTGTAACAGGTAAATATTATGCTATGAAAATGCTCGAAAAAGAGAAAATTGTTAGATTGAAACAAATTGAGCACAGCTACTACGAAAAAAAGATTCTCTGTGGCTTAAATTTTCCTTTTGTTGTTTACATGAAATACTATTTTAAGGATAACGTTTATCTTTATTACGTTCTACCTTTCATAGCCGGTGGGGAAATGTTTTCACATTTACGTAAAATGGGCAAGTTTGAAGAAACTTCTGCAAAATTTTACGGAGCACAAGTTATACTAGCTTTAGAATATCTGCACGCTTGTGAATTAGTATATCGAGATCTAAAGCCCGAGAATATATTAATAGATCGTACAGGTTATATCAAAATTACTGACTTCGGTTTCTGTAAGCTTATCCGCGGTAGGACTTGGACACTTTGCGGTACTCCAGAATATTTAGCACCCGAAATCATTCTAAGCAAAGGCTATGGAATGTCAGTCGACTGGTGGTCCCTAGGGGTATTACTTTTCGAAATGAGTGCCGGGCATCCACCATTTTTTGCTTCAGATCCAATGAGAATTTATGAAAAAATTGTGGCAGGAAAATATAGATGTCCATCACATTTTTCTGTTGAATTAAAAGATATAATAGGACATGTTTTACAAGTCGACACAACAAGACGTTACGGAACTCTTAAAGACGGCGTATTGGATTTTAAAAATCATAAATGGTTTAGAGAAATCGATTGGGATAGTATTTTGAATAGTCGCATACATCCGCCGTTTTTTCCAAAGATACGTTCACCAGGCGACACCGCTAATTTCGATGTTTTTGATGAAGAAAAAATTAAAGACAGTCCAGTATGTCTTTATGAAGAAGAATTTGCTGATTTTTAACATATAAATTTTGCTGCATCAGATACTTCTTTATCGCTCTGAATAAGTACAGGTTTAGTTAAGCACGAAGTGTTTTAATTTATTTCACAGCGTAAAATAAAGCTAGTGTAAGGTCTAATATTTCTTAATTAAATTTTAATTTGCATCATTCTGTGTTTAATGAAAAACCTTATGTTCATTGAATCACTATTACAAGCTTGCCGTATACCATTTTTTATGATACGTCAAAGAAGAGAGGTACAAAATATGCACACCAAAACACAATTGGTATTAAAAGGAATATTACTACAAAGAATACATAATGTTGAACATTATATTTTAACCGGTATTTGATACCAGTAGAGAGAGGAAGGAAAAACAATTTAGCTTTTCAAAATTTAGAGGCCGTCAACAAAGTGGAAAGCTAATTTAAGTCTAGCCAAAGACTACATATTATTATCCATACTATCATCAAGTTACGCATACAGCTTATATAAATATTGGTATAGATACACATCTTCTTAACATTACGTGAGCGAGGCCACATATAAAATCTAGTAATTACTAAACAAAGTATCACCTACTTCTTGACTGTACAGAAAAGGACCGTTAATTCTGGATAATTTTAGCCTCAGGTGTCGTCTGGACAGCACTGGGCTACCGAGAGAATTTTTATTTTTTATTTTTATTGCTTAGATCGGTGGACGAGCTCACAGCCCACCTGGTATTTAAGTGGTTACTGGAGCCCATAAACATGTACAACGTAAATGCGCCACCCACCTTGAGATATAAGTTCTAAGGTCTCAAGTATAGTAACAACGGCTGCCCCACCCTTCAAACCGAAACGCATTACTGCTTCACGGCAGAAATAGGCAGGGTGGTGTTACCTACCCGCACCGACTCATAAGAGGTCCTACCACCAGTAAATCGAGCTTCTACTCTATTTTGTGCCATGTTGTGTATGTTTTACAGAAATTCTCTGACGATTTTATTATATTTGAAATGATTCTATCATGTCCTTTCTACCATTGCACTACCCGCTACCAGGGCAGAGTTCATCATCATCCTTATCAGATAAGGTTTTCAATTTGCATGACCTCAGTAGCAATAAATTTTAAAAATCAATATCCATTTTATCCATATTGAAATTCAGTTTTAGAATAAATTAAAGTAGTAAAATAACGGAAAATCAGCCTTTTCACAAGTTTTGTGTTACATATGCTTGACTTTCATTATATGGTGTCGGCCTAGAAGCACTTCTTAATCTTTTCTCACGGGTGTCGTAGGAGTCGATTAAGAGTATCTCTTACAGAAGAAAGATGACTACCAACGGATATTTACTATTAAATACACAATATATACATTTTTCAGGAGGTCACAATTCTCATTGTATTGTTTATACAATACAATGAGAATTGTGACCTCCTATCACACAAGTGGAATGGGGCATTTACGCTGGATATCTATGGGTTCCAGTAACAACTACAATAGGTAGGATGTCAGTTCCGTCCGCCTAGGCAGTAAATATAAAAATAAAAATGATGATTGGTTGTATTTCATCAACGACTGCTTTCAGGAAAATTATATGATTACTTATTATTTTATTATTATATATGAACACGAGGCCGAAAATTATTATTCGTTTTTGTACGTTTTAAAAATAGACTACACTTGTCTTTTTTTAAGAATACAAATATCAACTGAGAGTTGAACATTTACTGTATTTCTTTTATGGCTTCATATATGTATATTGATATTTTGTAGCACCTTTTTTTTGCTGCGTATAAATAATTACATAAGTGCTTCTTTAGTATCTCCTATATTCACTTGTGAACAAAAAAAAACTTGACCGAACAATACTGTTAAAGAAATTACGTAAGTCATTTATTGCTATAGCCCTTAGGCCGTAGTAGCTCGCTGCTCTTCATTATGTCAAATAAGGGCATCGATGTAATCAGTCTAACAAGCGATAAGATCAGCAAATTTTCCTCAATTTCGATATTCTTGCCAGAGTATTTTTTGTACCGTCCAATCTTAGTATCAAGTAAAATAATTCTAACAACATATTATGTTCATTTTACGAACACCAGGTAGAACAGACAGGGTTACGGTTGAACCGTTGAACGGTGAATAATGCATAAAAGATACATTAAATCAGTAAAGAAAACATTACACACCCTACATGCCATGTATTTGACGCACACACGCATGCATACTATATTTATTGTCAAACTTTTGTTCTTGACGTCTGTGGTCAAATTGAGAATAGATTAAATATTGCTTGTCTTTGTTAATGTTTTTATAGTGTAGTCTTGGCGAAATTTGTGATTATAGAAGTATAAAATACAATCATAATAGTGTACAAACTTACAATTCCAATTAGTTATAATCGAATTTCGACTACTGCGGGACCTCTAGTCATTGTTAATCAATATCATTGTTAAACTCAATATTCAACGTTTTGATACTCACCAATCCGCCGCCAGCTGTGTACAGCATTAACGCAACGAATAAACCAACATGGGACAAGGCTTCTCTTGGACAGAAATTGCTCCATCTCGATTCAGGCTTTGCACCCATAAGTGCCTCCGTCTCCCATGACACGTTCTTCTCATTTTTACACATTTTAACACTTTGTCCTTTTCAATTTTACCATATTTTATATTCCGGTATGTTCATAATAAAATTCTACATCACAGAGTTTGAAATTTTCTTATAACTAGTAGTTGCTGAAAATCACAAATTGATGAAACTTAAGAAGAAACAGTTAAAAATTACATAGACACAGTTATATAATGACTGACAGATAAAGATGCGGAATAAAAAACAAGAACTGTTGAATTAAATACATTAGTGTCTCCTATATGTGTTTCGAATTGAAATATTAAAGGAACATGTGTACGATAATTTCGAAATTTATAGTATATTTTAAAAAGGAAAACCTTAAAATGGGTTTACCATAATTTACTAAAATTATGAGTCCAATGTATAAGAAATACATTAGAACAAACTGCTAAGTCGCGTGACTAAAAAGGAATTCAATTTTTCTCTAAACGCTCGGAATATTATAATCATATCGTTGCAAAGGGGAAAATTTTATAAAATATTCTAGTTAAAACCAAGCCCGTCTTCGTTGTAACTAACGCCAAATAAATAAAATAGACTTGTTTGACTAGACAAATTAGAAAATCTTGTTTATTATCACCCTTTTTAGGAATAGATTTGGATTTTTCTTCATTTACAATGCGTTCACTCATCGATTTAGTACCCATGTTAAAGTTTGTACTATATGTGACACTTTAGCGAAGATCTTTGGTATGTCTTTTTTTTACATTTGACTTAATTGGGCTATCATATTTTTCGTCCACTGAGTTATATAATTTAAAATATGTATTCTTTTTTTTTATTACTTACATGGGTGGACGAGCTCACAGCCCACCTGGTGTTAAGTGATACTGGAGCCTATAGACATCTACAACGTAAATGCGCCACCCACCTTCAGATATAAGTTCTAAGGTCTCATGTATAGTTACAACGGCTGCCCCGCCCTTCAAACCGAAACGCATTACTGCTTCACGGCAGAAATAGGCAGAGTGGTGGTACCTAGCCGCGCGGACTCAGAAGAGGTTCTACCACCAGTATTCACGATAAAACTGCTTTGTGGCGTTGTTCCAGAAACCAAAAAAGGAACAAAAGGCTATTAACATATCGATTATAATATGAATATTTCAGCAGGATTTGTCTGTATAAATGAAGTTGTATGAATAGAAGTCAACTTTTCACATGAGGAGATATTCGAGCGTAACTAAATGAGAATAACGAATACACTCACAGTATATTATGCTGTATAAATCAAAGATACCTTCTAGCGAAATCGATATTGCTCATCACCCAAATAAAACACGTAACGAATATTTTGCCATTTCGTCGATGAATACGTACCACTTCACATTTGTTTACCTCACTCCTACGACATGGCCAATCATAAGAATATAAACAATAACGTACCTATTCTGACATCAACTCATTTTCGTTACGATTTGTAACGAAATCTATATCGCAAGAACGAAAATATCTTATTAGCGGCTGCTTTATTTATAAATGGTTCAATCGATCAAAGCAGTTTTTAATCGAGTGTCATCCAGGATATCGTGGATCTTAAAGGAAGAGGATGACGTGCGTGCTTAGTAGTAATCATGTTTCAATTTTAGCAATATTTTATTATGCATCAAGAAGACGTGGAATGCCAAAAATGTAAATCAATATACAACAAATGTTGTCCATTAATGAGTAAGTCCTCTGTTTGAATTGCAGTATCAAAATATAAGATTTTGTATTTTTGTAAATTAAGAGATTTACTTTGCTAAGTACTTTTATTCTTTTTTTATTGCCCTATTTGCGGACGAGCATACGGCCCACCTGATGGTGAGTGGTTACCGTCGCTCATTCACGTCAGCAATGCCAGGAGCCGAGCCTAGCCGCTGCCTACATTATTTATTCAGAAAAAATTCAAATACAAAAATAAAGAGCCTATTTTGGCTATTTTTTATAGCTTTACTGGAAATCAAAGCACTGTAATATATATTCGATACTTCAACACGCCTAAAGACCTCGATAGCTTTCGACCTTGCTGTAGAATCCAAGGCCTCAACAATAAATGGTCACCATGATATAGAAAAAAAAATAAACGAAGTGCTATAAATTTTTATTGCTAAAAGCACTTTGCACGGAAAATCGCTTTGATTGATAGATTTGGATGAAAGAATAATGCCTTTGTAACCTTGATACATTATGATGCGCTGCTTACGTTAAAGCTCTTTACATGCATCGTTTAATCAATAGCATGTAAACTAATATAACTGAACCAGCAAATATGTTATCTTTATGCTCTTTTGCTTTTAATGATCTTTTTCGAAACTAGGGGTCTGAAGCTGCGTCATCTGAACCTCATCTTCTGAATGATTTTGTATGATTAATTCCACATCTTAACCACGTAAATTGGATTAAAAAACGGTACATATTTAATGCTAAAGACATTGACCTATTTATATACGATTGTTTCAGTTCAATCTGAATCTAGAATACAGCCTGCAATGCCGTACACTGCCGTACTAAGATTACATAAGGTTACAAATACTTTCAGAAAACCGTTTTTAAAGGAATGAGTATGCTAAGCACTGCCAATTTTGAGAACACGTTGATTATTTCTAGCATTATCAATCAATATTCTTTAATGTTTTAGGTATTACAACATAGCGAACAAAATTTTAGGTTGTGCAAAATTACTTCTAAATAACACTACATGAACTTAGATACACTGTCACTAATTACGAGCTTACTTGTAAAATATGATTTAGTTTTAGTACCTGTACAAAATTGCCTCAATAAATTTCTACGTACATAATAACGTTTTAAAAAAAAAACTTCGCAATTTTGTGTAACAGTTTTTCACGATTAATTCAAAATAATATTAAATTATTGTGCTCCTCACAAAGTTTGCAATGCAACGAACGTTGCACGTGGGCAGGGGATAACGCACATGCTCCCTCCTCGACGATCCGCGGTCAACTGAAAATTGTTTCAGTCGAATACAGTATTCAGCCTCACTTTCAGGATTAACTAGGTGAGCTTATCTTAAGCCAGTGTGACTAGCTTTTCCAGGACATTACATGACAAAGATTTGTGAGAGGGTTTTCATATAAATCTATCTAAGTTACCTAAGATTTCGGAACGAACCAGTACGGGTATATTTTTTTTGGTTTTGCTCGAAAAAAATATTGAAAAGACAGATGCTTTATTTTTATTTGGTACATCGAGTAGAGGTAAGATTGTATAGATGTCATTCACCCTTCCTGTCGCTTTTTTTGTTATTTAATGGTCATTGTACTTTATACGAAATCCAGTTCTGTGCCAATCTAAAAAAAAAAACGTCAGGGTTCCGGAGCGAAATCGAAAAGCGAAACTCTAAGAATTTCTTCACGACTGTCTGTCTGTCACAACGGTTTTATTTAGACATTAAAAAGGGACTATATTAATTTAATTTAGAAATGTATTTTTAATTAATGTAATTTATCAAATTCATGTTCAAATTATTACAATTTTATTTTTTAAATATCTTTGGAAGAAATCACGTACGGTCATCCGGCTTAAATTTTCTAAATTCTCTATGTTATGGGTATCAGAAACTAACAAACATACTTATATATTATTTAAATAAAACAAATATAGATAATAAACACCCAGACATCTTTGTCTGGGTGCTTATTATCTGGGTGCTCTTGCAAGCAAACCTGTTTGTTCATCACACAATGTTTTTTTTATAGCCCTTGTAGGCAGACGAGCATACGGCCCACCTGGTGATCAGTGGTTACCGTCACCCATGGACTTCAGCAATGTCAGGGGCAGAGCCAAGCCGCTGCCTACTGCTAACTACTGCACCACGAAGTCAGTCGTAAATAGCGTTAACTCAATAGTTTTTAGACTTATATTACACTAGACGCTCCCGCGGCTTCGCCCACACCAACAAGGAATACCTAACGTCAGTGTAATTTCCCTGGGGAGTGAGATGTTTTTCGGGATAAACGCTGGCCTGTATCACACTCTTGACCTAATACTATCACTTTAAAAGTATTGTAAATCCGTTGTTTCGTTTCGAAGTGAAGGAAGGATAAACAAACGCTTTCACATTTATAATAATACTAGCGACCCGCCCTCGCTTCGCTTCGGAAACTGTAATTTGTTATTGATTTCTCCACTATTTAATGGATGTTATTATACATATAAACCTTTCTCTTCGAGCACTCTATCTATTAAAAAAAAGGGTGCGTGTATTTATATACGCGCGTAAGAAGTTATACTTTATTTTTATTAAATTTATTTCTTTTTTTTTAAATATTAAATAATTAATAATAAATATTTGACGTTAATAATTTAATAATATTTAGTATGAATTATATTAAATAATAATTTTGTCATTTATATTACTAAAAAATGAATGCTAATAACACTTTTTTTACGAGTGTACATGCGCGAAAGTTCACCTGCGGCTATATTCAGACTCGCCAAGTTACGTCGGTAGTATTTAATGAGCGATTTAGTGGGCAACTTCATTCTGTTAATATTGTGTCACGGTGCGCGCGCATCGTAAAATTTAACTCTCATCAATTTTTCATAACGCACCTAAAGAAGTATAACTTCAAAAACCGCATCAAAATCCGTTGCGTAGTTTTAAAGATTTAAGCATACATAGGGACAGACAGATATAGGGACAGAGAAAGCGACTTTGTTTTTTACTATGTAGTGATGCATGATTATGAATCATAGGTTAATACATCATCTAACACACACGTCTAACTTCACATTTAATTGTATCCCTGATATATTACGACCTACATACTTCGTATTGTTTTTTTTTTTGTCATTTGAATAATATAAACTTATATTGGACGCTTCTTTGTTGCGAAAATATGAGAATGAGACGATGCCGTGGTTAAAAAATCGATAAGAATATACCAGATTTGATACCGATTAGGGCACGCAAACTGCTATTGTTACCGTAGTACATTCGAACTACAGAACCCTGTCGTGTGCGTAATCTGACACGCAATTACCTGGTTTTAACCGGTTTATTAATGTGTTTAAAAACTGATGTTGTAATTTAAAATTTTACATTCGTATATCAGTTTTTTTTAATCAACTTAAGCCACT